AAGTTATGAATGGCCGGTAACTTAAAAATTTAGTAGCCAAATTGGCTGGTGAGTGAAAAAGTTAATTTCAATCTCTGCATGTAATACATAAACATACCTGTACTCCTGTAGTGAGCATGAAGCGTCTTCATTGATAACCGAGTAGTAACAGACTTGGTCAGCGGTTTTGCGTCTGTCTGGCAAGCAATATCCCTTGATTGGCTGCTCTGTTCTGATGTGCTGGCCTTTGCAAATAAACATTCCACTATTAGTACAAGCCTGCTATCTTTACAGAACACATACTCGATTTAAGAGTCAGTCATCTGATTGTACTGTGCATAATAAATGAGCATTTATGAATTACACAGACGGAGCACAGCGCGATAAAAATAACAACATAGCTGGTTTCATGGTGCCATCGCGTGCTATCACAAACTTTATAAGTCCCACATATGATTATGAGCTTGACAAATTCACATTTTTAACTCCCACATTCCCATTTACGATCATTCTGGTAGCACGTGAAGGCAGCATCAGTGAAAACAGGAAAAATTTAAATTCTGTCCTCATTAACTCACCCTCATAACAATTCAAACCTATATGGCTTTATTTCTTATGCAGAACACAAAAGATTCTGAAGAATGTTTTTTAACTGTTTTTGCCTATACAATGAAAGTCAGCAATGTCCAAACTAAAGCTGTATACCACTGACTTTTATTAAATTATGACAGTGTTTGTTAATGATTAATGAAAATTCAAACATACATGACATATGAAAACTATTATTACTGTATTTTTTTTAAGTCATTACAATAACAATGAAATATTTCTGAAAATGAACTCAACGAACTGGCATCTGTGGAAAGACAACTGGTATCTGTATGGTAAGACTACTTTGAGCCCACAGACTGTCTGATGCAAATACAGACAAAACTGGAAAGCACTTTCTCTATTTAAATTTACATGAGAAACATAATTTCATCAGTCCATGTTTACAAACTACAGGGTTAATATTGAGTTAGCACTACAGTTGGCACTGCTCCATCCTTCAGGAGCAACTTTTGTGCAAAACCTGCTTTATACTGACCCTCATTCACAAAGCAGTCCGATGTAAAATGATTCGCGCAGACATAAACGAATTTCGGTAGAACTGAGGGCGCATTTTCTTCTAAAACAAAATTAATCCACCTTGTCTTCAGCGGCTCAGATTTCGGGAGTAAATGGAGAGAGCTATGTGGATTCATACATCCAGCTACAGAACACCTAAAACACTTGGGAGACATTCTCGTCAGTGCAGCAATGCAACTCGCTCAGGGCGGTTCTACGTTAAAACAGCAGTCTGTCAACTTTCGTGGGCGGGGCCTAGGGCTGCACGATAAATCGAAATGGAATCGAGATCGCGATTCGACAGAAGCTGCGATTGTCATGCGTATCTTTCAGTGAAGCACGGTTCTGTGATCAGCAGTAAATCTCCATCCGAAGGCCAGAGGGCGCTCTCGCGCTGAAATTCCAAATACGCCTCGCAGAAGAAACCCAGGAAATCCCTATCATGCAGCTGAATAAACAGAAGATTCAACTGCTTTCATCGATTCAGCGCGACTAATAAACACGACTACGGCAATATACGGTTTATCAGAGTTCTTATACTTTATTTTAATGAAAATAATAATAATAATATTTATAATGCAATGCCTTTATCACTGCTTAAATACTATGAAATATGTTGCCTGCCTTATTCTGTGTAAGAAGCCACATCATCTCACAGAAGGATTTATTTCAAACACTCGACTGACGTTATGAAGTGAGTTTGGAGTAAAAATATGTTATTAAATGTGGTATTTTCACATGCTTTCAGATGGAGCAGCATTTACTTCACAGAGCCATAGTTCACTGAGAAGCTACACAAACAGCTGTCATTATCGCGAACGATTTCAGAATCGCGCAATAAAATACAAAATAAAAAAAGCGTTTTTTTTTTTGCGTAACTTGTCAGTGAACTACGGCTATGTGTAGGGTGGATTTTTTATCACTTTAGAGTGGTTGTGTACACACACTGCCAACACACATTTATGTCCAAACCCCATGCAAAAGTGAATTTTGCATAATAGGTCCCCTTTAATTACTTTATTTGCAGTTGGTTTTTAGTTGTTCTTGATGACAGATGACATCAGTGAGTCAAACCAAAATATTTTTTTTTATTGAATTTAAAAGTTACAGTTGGTTCTGAAGACTTACTACTTCTTTAGACAAACAACATAAAAATCAAATAAGGATGTAATAATACTAACAATAATAATAAGAATCATTATATACTGATAATAACATATATAAATAATACATTACATAAATTAAAGGGGGCATCCTGACCCAAACATATATTAAATTAACAGTATGTTGGGCTTTTATAAATGTATTTATTCAAAATGTTACAA